TGGGCTTTTCTCATTTGGATCACTGAATTAAATCCGTCATGAATAATAGTTGAATCTTTTTTATTTGATTTGCTCCAAAAAATCTTCAACAAAAGATATGATGATTTGCTATATTCAAATTCAAATTTAAATCTCCATTTAAATCTGATTTGATCTTCAACAATTGTCAAATAAATCACACAAACATTGCAAAACAATCTGCAACAAATGTGATTGAATCTCAATTAGAAATTTAGCACCTAGCAACATCCATCATGGTCTGCTTATAAGGGCCATATGCTGCACTGCACACATGTTAGAACACCATGTTTCACATGTTGTACCAGAACATCTAAATTAACTATTCTCCGTAGATCTTCTGTATAGAGTGGATCTTGGATATAATAAGTCTAAACTAAAAATGAAATAACATATGTCTGTTGTGAGAGACCATATGTTGTAGCACACATGTTTGAACATTGTGTTCCACATGTGTCCCTTTTGCACCAGAAGTAGTTTAAACATACTCCATTTTATTTTTCATAATGCAACTAATCCAAAAGGAACCACAATCTTCGCTTTTGGTAAATTTTGGCAAAATAACTCTTCAACCAGAAACACAACTGAGTGCCAAAAAATGTCACATACTCATAACAAACATCATCATTAGTAAAAGAACATCCATTAGAGCTTACATCAACATCAAAAGTTGAATAGTAGCAACACAAATCAATAGCATAACAATTGCTACACATTAGTCAGCTGACACACAATGGTGCTCCCATAAATAGATAACATGAGATCATTCATGATATGTAGTCATGAATGCTGTAATATCTTATATCCTTTTAAATACTCTATTTGTTTTCAATTGAGATGGATTGAGCTCTTATGTGCTCTATTTGTTGTCATTTGAGATAGATTGAGCTCTTATGTACTCTATTTGTTGTCAATTGGGAGAAACAGAGTAATTAGTGAACTCGGAGTAGATTAAATCTTACTCACTTCTCTTAATCATTACTAATTAGTAAGAGAGGGAAATTTGGTAAAATTGATTTGTGGCAATTTAGAGATTATGAGGGTTTGAAAGGGGGAAAATTGGTCATTGCTCAATTAAAGCCAATAAAAGACAAACAAATTTTCTACTCGATGCCTTGTTCTCTTTTCTTTCCTTCATTTTCCTCATTTGTACCAAGTTAGTAAGAATACAGAGAAAAAAGAGGAAGAGAAGAAAAAGAAGAGGAAAAAGAAGAAAATCTTAGAGAAGAAAGGAAAGCTTGGATCAAGAAGCAAAATCAAATCAAATTCATCATTAATATTTGTCCTAAGGTGAGTTCTAGGTAGTATTAGCCTTGGGGGAAAACTACCATGAAAATTGGGAATTAGGGTTTTTGTGAATCCTTATTATGTTAGGGAATTGATGATCATGATATGTTTCTTACTATGTTATTCTTGTTTCTTAGTGTTAATCCCGTGTCTATTGGTGTCTGTATGATAGTGTCATTGTTTATGTAGCATTGTGTTATGTGTGATGCTAATAATTTGCATTGTTGCTGTAAATTATATATGAGATATATGTACATATTTGTCATCTTATACTCTGTGAGACGTACTATAGTGTGTATTAGTTGTGCATTGCATGAAAAAACAATGTTATTTTTTATGTAAACATTGATTGATTGTACTATTATAGTGTTATCATCTACTGCTAGTCATAATAGTTGTTTGGTTGCATAGTGTTTTTATATGCATTTACATGCCACAATGTTTTGTTGTTGTAATCTATTGTCACTATGTTTGTATACTTAACACGTAACGTGCAGTGCATCATAATCTAGCATTTTATGTAGTGTGTATCTGAAGTATATATGTGATCAATGTCAAAATGTAATTATTTAATATACTTATCATATTGATTAAGTATTGCAATGTTGAGTGTGATGTAGTGTTGCAGTGTGCTTCCTAGATGTATGAAGAATGTGTGATGTGTTAGTTTACAAAAAAATATTGTCTATATGACTTGTTTCCCTATTTTCACCATAAAATGGGATTCATAACTCTGATTGATGTGATCTCAGATACATTGGAAATCGGGCCTAATATTATACCTTTTGGTAAAGAAAAACCATGTCTATATTCTGATTATTGGTTGGATATTTGGCGATGAACCTTTGTTCTAAAAGTTCTATTTGGTGAGGAACCTTTATTTCGAAAGTCCTATTTAGTGAGGAACCTTTATTCCAAAAGTAGTATTGGTAATAAATTATTAAGTGTGCTTCATGTATGATATTATTATGTGTATGTTATGAACTATATTATGACTTACTTGCTTGTATGTATGAATTAAATGATTAAAATCTTGATGACGAGTGAGGTTAAACCCAAGGGTGTAACTAGGTGAATGAATTAATAAAGATAACTAGGTTGTGACAAATGAATTAGATGGTGATATACGAACACGAAGGTATCTCGGTGTGTACCGTGGACGAGTAGTCACTATAATTGTAGCTTAGTCACAAACTAATATGCTTTGTATGGAACATGAGTTAATGCTACGAGACTTGGTGAATATGATCACTTAGTGATTGATAAGTATAATCACGTTATGATTGATGAACTAGTCATGTGTTTGGAAACAACCCAATTTCTGTGCCCGTCCCAAATTGTGATGCTTATGAAAAGTAAGAATTGAGATACATGCACTATTGCTCTGCATCAACCAAATAGGTTAGAGTCTCATAGTTCAACCAAATGGGTTAGAGTCCCATAGAGGACATCTACCTCAAAATGGGTTAGAGTCTCATACGAGTAAAATAATCGAAATGGGTTTGAGTTCCATATGGATAGTTAATTATTGAAGTAGGTTCGAGTTCCACCGAGAATCCGTAATCCACAAGAAATTCGAAGCATGATACAAGGATTTGTGACTCATGGCGATAATCCTAGACGTAGGGTTGGCCGCAGAAAGATGCCTTGGTACGGTTTCCGATTAATGCTTATTTAAGTTGGTTAACTCAAGTGTACATGTTTCCATACAATGCAAAAATCCCTTAGATACTTGAGTATTTATCTATTGTGTAAGAGTACACATGTTGATGTTGAGAAACTTAAATTAAGGAATCGATTAAACACCCTTTAGAGCTGAGTGGATCCATAGGATAAGGGAACTCACCGAGATTATTAACTTACCCCACTATTATTTTTGTTTTTCAGGTGATTCTTTACAGGATAAAGGCAAGGACAAAGTTGTATGATGATGTTTCAAAGACTTTTGTTATTGTGATTTTTCGTCGTGGATTAGGAGAAAATATGGATATTATACATAGATCTTAGTTTTTGATTAGGCTCTCTTGTATATCATTGCCATGGTTGTATTTTTTCTTTTGGACACACACACACACACACACACACACACACACACACACACACACACACACACACACACACACACACACACACATACACACACACACACACACACACACACACACACACACACACACACACACACACATATATATATATATATATATATATATATATATATATATATATATATATATATATATATATATATAGTGATGTCGTTAGGCACTTATGTTGTATCAGTACCAATTAACATTATGTATAATGTATTTTCTAGATGTATATTATACAAGGTGTTTCACATTACTCACATAGTTAATAGTCGGAGGTCAGAACCTACTATTAATACACAAAGATATCAGCATACACAATCACATAAGATTGAGGGCCAGATGCCAAGTCACATGCTTCAGCATCGGTGCATACAAAAAATCAATTAGTTCTACTTAAAACATCAGCCAATACTAAGCATATTTGGACCTACCGATTGTACCTCATACACCACAAAGTTAGTTGTCAAGTTAATAGTTATAATACTCCACTACAAACATCATTACTCCCCCTTTTTTTTCACAATTTCAAAAAGGTGTTCCTTAGAGAAATGATGCATTCAACATAAAGGCTAGTATGTTAGAGCATACACACACCATATTAAGAGTAAACAAACTTCAACTAATAGCACATATGTGAACATGATGCGAGAGCCCCATTACAATTATTGGTACAATATCATAAAGACTATCAATCCATTACAAAACTAGAACAATACGTACCAAACACATCAGTTAGAACCATTCACAATAGAGTCAGCAACATATATTATCACCACACTACAAATGTAGTAGAGTTAGTAGTTAGATCATACACACTAAAATAGTGGAGGCAGAAACAACATGTTGAGGTGAAAAATCTCTAACATTTCTTCATCAAAAACTAGATCAAATTCATCAACTGGTACAAAGATGTTAGACACGATGTGTAAGACAACTTCTCCGACATTCAGATTGTAATGAATTCTCAGCAACCCATGAGGAATACCATCATCCTAAACCTCAAACTCTTTCATCATCCTAGGATAATAGGCTCCAGTATTTAACACTGTCTTCAACAACTGATCATCGCTATGAAGCTCCATAAATTCATTATACATTTGTTCTTTAAAAAAAATTCTTCTGCATCCTTATTTTGAGTTTCTTCTTCTCCCTTAGTTCCCTTTTCCTTGGTCGTAATCTTATCAATAGGGGGAACCTTGTTTTTGTCCAATCAATTAAAAGTTGAATGTGAAAGCTTCACACACTTTCCTCTATCATATTATTTTCTAAACTCCTTGACCAACTTTTCGTAGCTAGGACCATCATCAGTAACAATCTTCATTATCCTAATAACTTTCATGATTTCTTTGTAATCAAGAGCTTATTCACCTAGCTCTCTTTCAGTTGCAGTCCTTCTTTGAAGAACATAATTCCACTTCTGAACACTTGTTTCATAAAGGAATTAAACATTAATTGAGCAGGGGTGACATTTATAGGAATTCCCTTCCCACCAACCTTTCTCCTTATGGTGGACACAATGTTCTGGACATTTGCTTCAACACCTGTCTTAGAGTCACATGTTTGAACAAGTCTTCTATTTACTTCATAATTGACAAGGCCAACTTATTCATCCTTCCTCTGAGTTGGAAACTCATTCACTAACATGTCATACCTATTGTTTGGCACAACCTGGTTGAAATTTTCATTACCATCTTTGATGACATCTTTGAGCATTTGGTTACTCCACAACAGTTGAGTGCAACTACTTTCAGCAAGTATACCTTGAAAAATCAAAGGTGTGGTCCTTCATTTGATTTACTTGAAAATCAGGAAAGTATGTAACATCTTCTATGATGCTCAACTTAAAATCAGACTGCATTTGATGAACAACATGCTCCACCATCTTGTATGACATGTCATCAACATTCATATGAGCTCTTTTAATATTCACATTGTGTTTCACAATGACATCCTCTAGTAGTTGAACGTCCTCTTAAAATGTCAAATCTTTTTTTGATAGTTTCCTTTTAAGGGCTATTCACTTCTGATACAAATACTTACAGTTCAACACACTTTCCTCATAATGGAAATACATGTCGTATAAGGAAGCAATAGAAACATTTATGGAAATATTATTTCCATAAATTATTGTATTTGACTTATTTTTAGACCTTTTACAAAGATCAACATCTTTAGTAACACCTTCGTTGATTGGTTCAGTCCCATCATGAACTTCATCGCTCATAGGGATAAAACCCTCATCAATATTGATAGAATCATTAACAACATAATCAATGTTATCACCCACATTAATCACCACATGATCCTTTTCTTGTTTACCCTTGTCATTATACTTGGTTAAATTCTCCATGATTCTCTTCATTATGTTTGCAAAAGGAAAGTCTTCAACTTCCACATAATCACCCTTCTTAATGACATCATCCTTGTCAGTGGCATAATTACCAACATCCTAATTGACTTCCACATTCAAGTACCTATAGAGAGAGGAACTTTTCACATCCATCTGATAAAGGTTGAACTTCTAAATACATGAAACTCTTGGTATCAATATGATGTCTCCAAGATAAACAATAGGATCAAAAGTTTAAGTATCACAAAAACTTCCATCTTCCTCAGCATATAGCATAGTGTTTCCTGATTTTTTAGTAACAACTTGCTCCATATCAAGACCAATGAGATCAAAATCTTCATAATTATTGGGAGTCATATCATATATAGATTGTACACCCTTGGTAACCAATACATAATCCATGTTATTAATAGCACAAACTAGAAATAAGCTTTCATCCTTACTTATCACATCTTCGCATAATGTCTCCACATCTTATATTGCATGATCATGGTTACTAACAACACTGCCATTGACTATAACATTATCAACCACAACATCTTCATGGACATTATCATAATTCTCATTATGTATTTGAGACTCTATCAATATGCCTGACACATCTTTATCATCATCTTGATTTCCCATATTGGTTTCCTGTGTCTCCTCATCAAAATCCTTTTTGATGATATGATGATTTCTTATAGGTTCATATATGAGCGGGAAATTAACCACCTTTCAACCAACATCTAGATCATACTTAACAACATGTGGAGTGTTGTGGAGAGAAATATCCGAAACATACATCTTATGCAAAAGGTTGAACTGGCCCAGATGAACACCAATATCAAACAAACTATTATGTTTTTGGTCAATCAAAACTCCAGAGATATAAGAAGAAACTTGTATATGAATAATTATGCCATAATCATTATTCTTCTTTAGCTTCTTCTTCTGAGCCATAGTTGGTTATTCAATGTTGGGAGGACTTCCAACCTAACGTCGGCCTTCCCTTCAATGACAAATCCTTTCTTGAGTCTCATAAGGTCCATATGTGGTAATTAGAAGTATGAGTAAGATGTTGAACCATCTTGTAAGACATCTTGATTTTCTTCTCAAGTTGGAAAACTTAATAGATATTCCCTTCTTCACTTTTGAGATTAGTAAACATATGACAACTTTTTCTACAACAACTCCCAAGGTTTCAGTACCATGGCTTAGTCTTAGTTTCTAACATGTCTTCCAGAATGTCAGGAACATGATCTTCAATATTTTTCTCTACAGTGGGATCCACCATCTTCATCTTTACACATTTCTTTATAGTATGGCTAACATTGTTTCTTTATCCTATCATCTGTAAGAATAAGATTTGGTTCTACAATATTATCTATGAGTTTTGATGATAACAAATAAGTATGTTTGTATGAACAATTTTGATACTCTAATGCTTGTTATTGTTGAGTAATTAACAAACATGTTTTTCTTCTGATGGATGGTGTGGCCAAGTCATTAAAAGAGAATTAGTTCCGCTTTTGCGCTACACAAGTTTTGTTGAACAGTAGCAAGACACTCCAGAAGGCTCTGAAGTGTAAGCTCTAATGTTTTTCTAAAGAAACCAGTCAGAAGATATGAAGACAGAAGTTGCTACTTAAGTCCAGATGCTGAAGACTTATGTTTCTGAAGACAACAGATTCTAAAGAAACTGTCAGAAGATCTGAATACAGAAGTTTATGTAAGAACAATATTTGGTTCTACAATATTATCTCTGAGTTTTGATGATAACAAATGAGTATGATTGTATGAACAATTTGTTCTACTAATGTTTGTTATTGTTGAGCACTTAACAAATAGGTTCTGCTTCTGATGGATGATGTGACTAAGACATTAGAAGAGAATTGATTCCACTTTTATGCTACATAAGTTCTGTTGAACAGTAGCAAGACACTTCAAAAAGCTCTAAAATGTAAACTCTGATATTTTTCTAAAAGAAACCATTCAAAATATCTAAAGACAGAAGCCTCCACTTACGTCCAGATATTGAAGAATTAAGCTTCTAAAGACAACATGTTCCAAAGAAATAATGTTAGAAGATCTTAAGACAAAGTTTCTACAGAAGTCCAGATGCTGAAAGCTTAGGTTTCTATTAATGAAGTTCTAAAGATAAAGGTTCTGAAGACCAAGTGCTCAAGAATCTAAAAGACGGAAGGTATAAAGATTCTAAAGACATAAAGTTCTAAATACCGAAGGTTCAAAGAAAAGGTTCTCATAACCAAGTGCTGAAGACTCTAAAGACGCAATTCTGAAGACTTTGAAGACTTGAAGTTCTGAGGACCTGATGTTATGTTCTCGCTTCTAAACTCATGCTCGAAGAAGCCTATGAAATGCAGAAGTAAAGAAGATAACATTAACATGGTACAAATAGTACATGGTACAATCAACGTTTTATTCCACTACCATGAAAGGATGGACACGTCGCACGATCTTGTCCCCCTATTTACTGTTTAAGCTGCCAATGTTTCTGGAAATTCCAAGAGTATCCCTCAATGGATACATTATGTTAATGGATATATAAAGGCTTGAAGACTAAGAAAGAAAGCGTCTAACTACCGAATATTCAAAACCTCCTATGTTTCTGGAAATTCCAAGAGTATCCCTATTATCTACTTCCTCTATTGATAATAGGGATAACGATAGATATCACTATAGTTCAAAACCTCCTATGTTTGATGGGAAGAAATTTGACTATTGGAAGGATATAATAGAAATTTACTTTCTAGCATATGTGTGATACGGTGGCAGAACCGACTATTTCGAAAATGCTGGTTTGCGTTTTGCGTTTGTATTCGCAAAATGTCGCTGTAAGCAAGAGTCGCCACTGACTTTTATTTTATCCAACTGGAACGAAAAAAGTACAGGAAAATTCCTTTTTCGAGATTTTGAGTACGGGGGGTAGATTATAGAAAGGGAAGGTATTAGCACCCTTTCTATCTGTGGTTTTCCACGGGCTCTTAGGTACTTGCTCATCTTTTAAAATTGCTTATGGTTGTTTTGAAAAGTTTTTTTTTACTTCGTTTTAACCGTTGCTTCTGTCTTCAAGAGTGTTACGAAGTGTTTTTGAAAACTTGTTTGAAAAGTGTAAGTGTAAAAAATTTGATTTGAGCAAGTACCTACTAGCATCTACCTACTCGAAAAAAAGATTGTTTCTCTTCTTATTTCCTTTAGACAATGCTATCCTACTATTGAGAAATAGGTAGCACCGTCGTTGGAGTTGTAAGGGTCAATTTGTAAGGGACGTACGATCACTAAAGCAATGTTAGGACGTCTTAGTAATAACTCCAATGTCTTAAGATCATATTCGAGGCAATATTTCTGAGGCAACATTTCTAAACGGGACTTTTGATCTTTGTTTAGACAGAAGGGCGACCACTAAGACACCCTATACTTAATGACCATTTACCGAAGGCAACCGAAGTGAGAGTATACCCTAAGAGTGCGCATGTGCGAGTGATTTGATTTCAATTATTATCTTTGCATATTAGGGTTTTCTAGCCATTTTAAATTATCATGCAATCTTGTCATACAGTCCTATTAACATACATCTAACAGTTAATATTTGCAAGAATTAAAATGCGGAAAAGTAAAACCTACGCTATTACAAGGCTTCGGGGGATGGATTAATTACATAGCCAAAAAAACCCGCAAAACGATAAATAAAAGAAAATCCTAATTAAATTATTACATACCGTAAGCAGTTACATTAATATTTGCAAAAATAATAAATGCGCGCGATGAATCGAGAACGAGAGAATTAGGGTTTTGACCCCACCTAAGCCTAATTGCAATTTAAAATAAAAATCATTTTTTTGTGTTTTTGTGCTATTTTGAGAAAATAAGGTTTAATTGAAAAATGAAAAAAAACTAATTACTAATTAATTTAAATTTAAGAAAAATAATTAAATTAACCTATTTTTGTATTTTTTATTTTTATTTTTTGAGAAAGAAATAAGAGTTAAATCAAGCTAACCCTAATTTTTTCTAATTGATTTTAAATATATAAAAAAGTTAGAATTAACCTAAGTTAAATTTAAACTAATATTAAATTGAATTTGATAAAATAAAATAAAAACCTAATTCTAAATTTGTGAAAATTGATTTTATAATTTTTTGTGAAAAAAAAAGAAATTAATTTTGTTAGAAAATAATTTAAACCAATCAAATTAAATAAAAAGAAAAATTAGAAAAGAAAAAGAATGGGCCTGAGGTAAATAGCAAAAGGGAGGGGTGTTGTTGGCAACTTTCTGAGCCCAGATGCTGATGGCCCTTTTGACTTTTCCAATCCCATGCATGCGCTTGACTCATGCCCATGGTGGACCTTCATTGGGAAGGCCTTAGATCTGGCTTGTTGAAGATCTGCTGGCTGGGTGCTGATGATGTATAGTGGGCTTATTGTATACATGTGTACCTGATTATGCAAGAAAAAATAATAGGAAGCAAAATTGGGACCTGGGGATCGAACCTAGGCCCTTATGCATTCTCACGCTGCATGCTAGCCAACTGAGGTGGCTTGATTAGTTGTACAAGTAATAACAAACAAGCATTATATGGTAAAAACAAAATAATAATTCTTAAAACATGCGCAGATTCAAACTGCCCATTCACAACATGCCACGTTACTTTCTTCTTCCTCCCATCGTCGCTGTAAATTACATGGCTTTTACCTACGAACGCCAGGCGTATGTATAACCCTGTGCATCTCCAAAACCCTGTGCAAGCATGATAAATCACAACTAATGGTACCAATCAAATCGTTGCAACCTCACGAGCATCATGGTACCATTATCCATGCCTAATTGTTCCTGTACATAAAACCCCTAAAAATGAAACTAAAACCCTAGCCATGGCAACTTGCTGTATAGTCAATAAAAACTCAATTGGATATAACCATTAGCTTTCAAACATCTCAAGGATTAAGAATATATCAATTAAACATGCTAAATGTTCCAGGATTAACGTATTCGAACTCAAGAAAATATGGAAATCGTGGGACTCTTACAGTGCGTTTCAAGGTGTGGAGAAGCTTGCTAGCGACTGAAACAGGATCCTAGAACGTCCAGCAAACGATTGGGATGACTAGAATGCCTTGAAGTGATCTGTAACTGGGAAATCAGTTTGCCACTTTTCTTGAATTTTTTTCAACTTGTTCTCTCTCTTGCACGCCTCTAACCTCTTCTTTTTTGGTCTGCAATTGTTCCTTATGTACCCAGGAATGAATTAGGGTTGCAAACTTGTATCAAATCTCCCTCAATTATGATTATTAATTCATGATTTGATCCTTTGTGCAAATCTTTCCAAATCAAGAAAAATGAAATCTTTTTGTATCCATATGAGCCTTGCACGATTTGATCTTACTTCCAGCCGTGTAATGAATCTAAACATGCACAAAATCTCAAGATTTGATTAGTCTTTGATATTTTCATTATTTTATTTTGATTTTATTTGATTTAATTGAAATAAAATCAAAATAAATGACAAAAATAAAATAATGACGAATGGAAGGGATCATAGGTCGTGGGTCACATTACAAACTCAGTGCAAGCATAAAAAGCAGGGCCCATTTAGCAAAAAATGCAATTTTGGACACATTTGACTTTTGGCAATTTTGCAAAAAGGGTCAAATTTACCAATACATAACTCTTTCAATTTTGACCCTAGAGATGTGTTCTTGGACTTTTTAGAAAGCTTAAGATGTCCCCTAAGCAAAACTTTTGGTCTCATCTCAATTGATTCTTCCATGTTCATGTTTGAAGCTTTGACCCAAAAGGTGTTTTTGTTGACTTTTCAAAATGACCTATAATGTCCAAATTCATATCTTCTTGTGAGTGAATATTTTGAATTTGAGAGCTAAAGATGAATTGTAGGGAATTACATCCTCTTCAAAATGAGATTTGAATGGGTCGTTTTTG